TTTTATTTTATCCACATAACAATAGTGATGAACACTAAACAGCCAAAGTAAGGCTTGAGGTGTGATATTAATTAAAACAGCCAATTTACTGTTGAGAGTAATCTTAAAGATTATGTAAATATGTATCATTAACAATTTTAAAATTATTGCAGAATCGCCATACCAAAACATACCGGAATCAAATGGTCAGCATGACCCAAGTATAACTTCAGTGAAATAATTATAGATTTATAAGATTCCTGCGATTTTTTTCAGGAGGAGTCGGAAGTGCAGTGTAATAGAAATTGCACTTCATTTTGTTACTTTTGGGGGGGAACTATGATACACAATTATTACATTTAGTAAATATAGCTGATCTGATCTGATGAAACATATCTATAGACATATATGTTACGGTCCAATCCCGGTGGTATAAATAACATATCCTTCACATCGGAAAATTGTTGATCTTGAAGGGAAAAAACACGGTATGAAATGCATTTGGTCTTTTCCATCACATTCCAGTTTAAACCATAATCAGGACAGTACATGACAAAGTGTCAGAGACCAGGAAAAACCCAACTCTCTTAGTATGGACATGTTAGTAAGACGACTGCCTCACCAAGATGCCCAGATGTTGCTTATCACAAGATAAAGGCTCCCAACTACAATGCAACAAACTTCAGACACAAAATTATACAGCACAACTAACTGTTCTGCTCTACATAAACTAGATTTGTACAATCTTACATAGCAGTTTTCATTAATCCTACCATGGCCTTGTGATCACAGCGCTTTTCTTCACAGCACATTATGTGCAATCACAGAAAATGCATTAAGGTCCTCCATTCCTTAACTTTATATATTAAATTACTAGGTTTGATTGCTGTCAAAATTCATTCTGTACTAGACACAGAAAGTAAGTTAAGACAATATCCTTTTTCTTAAAATAAAGGGGGGGAAAAGGGGGGGGGGGGCAACAGCTCTATAAGACACACTTTGAGCTTGGATGTCTGATTATTTCAAAACTAATAATTGGCTTAGGAATTATTAAACAAGAGATCTCAAATACTCAGTCTCTATTTCCAGTCATATATATGTACCTCATAAAACTACGAAAAGAGTCTCACACAGTCTCACTCATATAATAATTACTCTGTTCATAATTTCATAAATCATAGCAACGAAAACTCACTGAAGCAATACTTAAAAAACTTAATAATGAATAGCTATAAGCAATACTGTGATATGTAAACACTGTAATCAGCTTTACCTCTTTCAACTTACTCACAAATTTGTCAATATTATTGTAGAGAGCGGTGCGGTGCACCCGTGGGACTCTAAAGTCCTCTTGTACCCACCTTAATCAATAAAAACAATCAATCAATCAATCAAACATAACATAGCTTTTACTGACTTATATAAAATAGGTAGCATTACTTACTTATACAGTTCAGCAAAAGAAAAAACAAAGATAACAAAATAAGTATTGCCAACAAAGACAATCTATTTGGTGGGAAATAACATACAATTATGCAAACATTGAATTACCACACAAAGTGATTGCAAACATAATAGTGCCCACAGTTTTAAAAACATAATCCAGACCTCAGTATAATTACTGATGTTGACTGTGTGCAGATAACTGCATGATAAATTCTATGTATCACAAAGTATTAAAAAAACACTTGAAAGGGAAAAAATTGGGGGAGAAATGTTATAGAACTTTCACTTAAATTGAAATTAAATTAAAAATGATGAGAAAGTATAACATCACAAAAGTGACTACAACTAAGAGGTAAAAAGCATCATTATTTTATAGAAAGTTCCTCCCTCTTCAACCATAAAAACCTAAGATTCTACTATTCCCAAGTCAGATGGTTCTGCAGGAATTGTTATACCACCTGTGTCTATACCAACATCATCATCAGTGCCTTTCAAAAAGAAGGAATGAGAGGATTCATCATCCTCTACCACAATGGAGGGATCCTCCTGAGATGGAATTTGAATTGTGATTGATTGTGTTGTCCCTGTAACACAGTAAACAAAGACACTCAATAAAATGCAAGTCCGTAAACATACAGTAAAACCTGGATAGAATAGTGAGAACCTGGATAGTAAGAATACCTCCTCATCAACTTTACTGAGGACCAAAGTTCAATTTGTAACATCAAAGAACCTCAATATAAAGAATACCTGAATATAACAGGCAGTACTATGACCTAGTTCCCTAGCAATTCCTACTATCCAAGACACACAGAAGTTGAAGTTACCGTCTGCAGATGTTCGAGAATCAGTAATATTAGCTGGGGGCAGCTTTTGGCCAGGTTCTGGCAGAAATGTTCCCAAGTATCTGTAAATAAGATGTGCTGCCGCAACATTTCCAGGGAAATATTCGACCTCTTCTCCTGAAATGCAGAAAAAAATATCCAGATAGCTTATGGGCTATAAAGTCAATATTTATGAAACCAAAACTAAAATAATTTTTCTACCCACCATTACTGGTGGAGGCATCTTCTCTCGGTACAACCAGCCCTTTCTGGTGGTCTGCAACATGCTGAACGTAGGTATCCTGATTAATGGTTTGAAATGTGCAGGAAGAGCAGGAAAACAGCCCAGACTCCCCAGGATGACGGTTCCTCAGGTGAGCTTTGTAACAGTTACTTTGAATTGATGAGTAAGAGCAATATGGACACTTGTACGGGCGTTCACCAGTGTGACGCATCATGTGTCTAGGAGCAGACAAAAACAAAAGGAACAATTTTAAATTAATTAAAAGAAGATCAATACTAGCAAAACTAAAGATAATAGTTGACAAAAAATTTTGATCGATATTATTTAAAATACCTTCGAAGTGTGTTATGGTCACCAGTGCGATAGTCGCAATGTGTACAGGCATGTGGTTTCTCTCCAGTATGCTGACGCAAATGAAGAGCAAGCATAGCTTTACAAGCAGAAGAATGTCCACAAACACTACAAACGTATGGCTTTATTTTACTGTGGACAGCCTGAATATGCCTTTTCAACCCTTTCGCATTAGAATATGTTTTCCCACAGTGGTTACACTGCTGTTCCATATACCTAGGGGTAAATTAGAAAAAAAAATAATTAGAACAATTTCAGAAAAATTTACAGGAAGCATCAGATACCAGAAAGAAACATTTTATATGTTCTTACCATCTAGTGCTTGTTTCCGCTGAACTTTTGTCCACATGAACACTTGTACAATGATTTCGGAGTTGAGCCGATTGTTTGAAGCTTTTGGGGCATAATTTGCAACGATATGGCCTCAAATCTCCATGAGTACGCATATGGATTTCCAGCTTTAGAGGAGTTGCAGCTTTGTATGCTTGGCATGTGGGGCATGTTAATAGGTCAACATCAACCTTATGAACCCTCCATAAATGGGCTGAGCACAAGCGCCACCTGAAACCACAGATGATTTGAAATAGTCAGGCCTCAGAAGTTAACACAGAGAAGTCAACAAAAAAGGAATTACAGAAGCACTTTGTTTACCTTACAAATATCTCATCACAGTGGACACAATGGAACTCTTTAACACTTCTGTCCTTGGAATGACATGATATATGTATTTGGAGAGCTTTGTCATTTGAAAATTTAGATACACAAGAAGGAAAAGTGCATCTGGAAATATATGACTAACATGTACATTTTACAGAAGAAGTGAAGTCAACAGAAATACAAAATACACCCTACTCAACATAATACTGTAAAAATAGAACAAAAGTAACAACATAAGTTCTAGGTACTCACTTAATTTTTCTTGCACGCTGTTTTACTTTCTGAACCTCTTCTTTAGGAGAATTACCCAATTTTTTCCCAGCAGTAGAGCTAGTACTCCCTGCCTCTTTGATGGCATCCTTCTTAATTGAGGTTTCCTGATTTCTAATAAGAACTGGCCTATCCATCAGTTCAATGGATTGCCATTGGACTCCTCTCTCTGTAAGAGTCACAACAGGTTCCATAGCACTCGCTGAAGGAACACCTGTACCTTCATCTGATAAAATGTGAATTGGTGCTTTAGGTGGAGCCTTTCCTCGTCCAGAGACAAACTTATGTTCCTAAGTGGATATAAGAGATATGCAAATAAAAGTTCTCCAAAATGACAGTTGGTGCAACAGTTCAAAGAAGCCTTACTTGTATCATGTGTTGTTTGCATATCTCTATGCTTTCAAATGCACCCTGACACTCTACACACACATACAAAAGTTGCTCAGGCTCACTTTCAGGTAAGTTAGTATCTTCCAAAAAGTCATCTTGGGAATCTGCTACTACACTCTGAGCAAGACGTTCAAATTCTTCACTCACTGGGATTGTGCCTAATTAACAAGTGTCAGTAGATGACAAAGCCATACCGAAAAAGCACAAAATGATTGAGAGAAAGAGGCATGTATACCTGGTGTTGACAAGTAGGTGGAATGGGATGTAACTTTAAGGTGCTCTTTTGCATAGTGTTGTACTATGGAGGTCTTTTCTGCAGCTGTATAAAGGCATGCTCTGCACTTAAATACAGTTACTTGCTCAACACAATCATCATCTACTTGTAAAACACTGAAGCTGTTATTTTTGGAGGTGTCAAGAAGTTCATCAACTTGTTCAATATCAACTTCACATTTCTCAAGTTCATTCTCTTCATCATCATTCTCCTCTACACTTTGTGTCAAGTACTCCGCTTCAGGTGTTCCAAGAATTAAGTTTGTGCACTAAAAAAAAATAAAAAAAGATGATAAAGTCAAGAAGTAATTACCAATAAATATTATGAAAAAATTTCTAAGAAAATGTGTTACGGTTTGCTTAGCACACCTGATCAGAAAATAAGTCTGGTACAATAAACTGGGCATCTTCTTGCTGATCAATGATATCAGAGGGTTCTGCATCATCTCCTTCGACAGTTAGTGATTGTTGAAATTCATCTGTGAGTAATTCCTCTTTCAGGCCACACATAAATACAGTTCCTAAAGAAATTAAGACATGTATCAAAATATATAAAATAAGAAACAGAAGGATCACATATGAGTAACAACTATAAATTATGTCAATCTTTACCTGTCTTGTCAACATACGCAACTCTCCCATCTGCAAGAGGCAGCAAAGTAACACCCTCTAAATCTTTGATGTCAATCTCCATTTCAAATATATCAGCTCCCAATGTAGCGGATATGAAAGGAAAGTTACAACACTGAAATAAAAAACAAGGAAGTTAAATCTCATTTGATACACCCAAGTTAAGAGAAAATAATGATACAAAAAAACATTTCGCTTATCAATTAAAGTACACTCACTAAGTGTAAATAATAAAAGTGAAAAACGCAAGACTGAATTCTTTTCCAAAATAAGTGAGTAAACCATATTTTCTTTTTCGCCCTGAGACTAACCTAATCGTAACCTTCAAATTTGAATTGCAAAGCAACGCGTTTTTAATGACTGACTATTAAACGAAATAATGGGTTGTCGCAATCCAAAAGCTTCGTTTTCCGTGAGTAAACTACAATCATCTCGATAAACGACAATAGACTAATTGTTTTTGATACTGCCAAAATGGCATTGTTTCATTAGTTTCAATTCAAACTCGCAAGATTCAGAAGTACAAATAACCACAACATAACCACACGGCACACGGAACCACGAAACGAAACGGAACGGAACGAACGAAGTCGGAGTTCGGGTCGGAGTCGGTCGGACTCGGGACAGCTCGGGTCCCACCAAACACCAAAGAAGGACGATACTGGATCCAGCTAAGTCCCTAGCTGTTCGCCGTTTGTTGACGGCTAGAATATTTGACAACGTTTTAAAATTAAAGAAGGATGTGACAACCGGCAGTTTTACCTTCGTTTACCTCCATGAAAGAACTGGAACCCATACAATATACGAGCTCGCGTCCACCGTAATTTCTTTATTGGGTAAGCCACTCATCATGCAGCAACTAACCTAATCTTGACACACAGGTCTGTCTGCTGGTCTGTCGCCATAGCGCGACGACTTCTCTCAACTCCACAAATATTTAGTTTTACTTTTTGAAGGGAGATGTCTAAAATCATCATCAAAATTCACAACTTTTGTAGGATAAGATTTCGAATCATATAATGGCTCTGTTCTGTTCGGGTTTATACCCACCACTAAGTTTAGAGTCAACCCGAAGATGCACCGAGTGTAGGGCTGGAACAGGACATTCTAGATCTTATGTGTAAAAACCAATAATGGATGCATGGATGTATGAAGTAACAGAATTACTAGTCTCATCACTCTATTTTTAATCACAGACACACAAATATACAATTTTGGCTGAGCAACTCAGTCATAGTTTAAGTTGTTTTTCCTCTCTAAATCACGTATTTCTAAAATGTCAGTTTTCAGTCTTAATTTCATTATTTCACGCCAAATATCTTCACGGTGTTGGGCATTTATGATACCAAGCCTTAGTAATGTATTCTCATGCATTCGAACAAGTGCTCGCCCAGTAATATCATGCTGTAACAGAGATAATTCAGCCATTTTCATTAACACAGCCTGAACAGATAAATGATAAAAAAATTAAAATAAACAAAATAAATAATATTAAAGACATAGCACCTGTATGAAAAGATCCAAATATAATGTGTAATAGTCACTGCAATGACGCCGTAACCATTTTTGAACATCATTCACACTCCACAAATAAACGGGCCTGGGTCTTTCAGTTTTGATCTGCAACATATGATGAATCATTAAAGACTGTATTACGTACATATTGTATTTCAATGCCCATTATTCAGTCTTCTTCATAAGTTCACAATGGAAAGATGGAAGTACCTTTGACTTCCCACTTGAATAAATAGCTTCCTCAACCATTTCCACAATGTTCCAAGAAAACTTTCATCTAAAAATGTATTTAAAATAAACGTCTAGCTTCATTCCATACGAGTTAACCCACAACCTTCTGCTTACTAACGGTAACGGTGTAAACTTTATAAAATGTCCTGCGAAAGTTAACCTCAACACGTCAGTGAAGTGACGCGTTAAATGTTTTTGTTTTTGTGTATATAGAAGGCTGTGAAAGCACAAGCAGAAAGCATTAGTCAAAATGGCGACTTTGGTTGATACCTATGAGCAACAATATGCAGTTTTAACTGCAGATATAACAGGAAAAATTGGTCAGCTGTCGTCAGCCTCTTCGGGTAAGTTAAAAAAAAATTGTCTCCAAAAATCGTCCTAAAAAAAAATGGGAACCTGTTTTGGGATACTGTATAAATATTACTTTTTGTGGTAGTACTTACCTCCCCACCAACCACTTATTTTTATTTGATACTTGTCAATGAGAACTTATTGCTTTATTTGATCTAAAACCGTTTTCCAATCAGAACATGTCTTAAAAGTTATCACCTCTGTTTGGAAACTGGTGCCTTTGCCTTAACCATGCTGCCATATGTTATTTTTCATCTGAGTTAAAAGTAAATTTCAGGCATTGTACTGGAAACATATGAGTTTGTTTAGTCTCTTTACATTTCCTTGACATCAAGTACTCATTTCCTGTGGATTTTGTTTATTTTTTTGTTGTAGCAGACCGAAAACCCATGATTGCAGAATTGGATCGGCAGCTAGAAGAAGCACATGAACTTGTAAGGGACTTTAAAGTCCAAGCAAACAATGTTTACTACACCATCCGAACCCTTTTTAGTTTAATCTTATTTTCTTCAGCTTGAACAGATGGAGCTTGAAGTCCGAGAGGTAGAAGTGTCACAGAGGCCTCGTTTAAGAACAAGAGTGGACAGTTATCAAGCAGAACTCAGAAGACTTAAGCAAGATTTTCAGAGTGCATGTTCAACATCATACATTGAGGGTAATAAAATGTCCAAGAACAGAAAAGCCACAAGTATCATATATTTGATTATCTTGTTTTGTCTATCCTATATCTATCAGGCTTTGGTGATGGAACAGAGGAACTCTTTATTAATGATGACTTAAGTATGAAGGAAGAGCAAAGACAAAGACTGCTTAATAATTCTGAACGTCTAGAACGCACTGGTAATCAGTTATTAGCCGGTTACCGTACAGTCATAGAGACTGAAGAGGTGGGTAACCAAGTACTGCAAGATCTAGCAATTCAACGAGAAACAATTCAAAGAGCCAGATCACGGGTAAGTGACATATTTAGGAGTATTTTTACTATTATTTTATGTCTTCTATTAATTTTACATTTGTCAATCTAGCTTCGAGAAACTGACGCAGATCTAGGTCGCAGTTCTCGTCTTATGAGTGGAATGATGTTCCGCTCCTTGCAACAACGGTTTGTTTTGATTGGGGTCTCTGTTGTTATTGGTGTAGTTATTATATGGTTTATTTATTATGCTTTTGCCAGAACTTCATAAACGATAATTCATATTTCAAATAGGCTATTAATTTTAAACTTTGCAAATCGCATTCCCAATTTTTTAGTGTGTTTAATAGCATCAATGAATAATTATTATAACTATTGTATCAGCGAAACTGAACAGTTGCTGGTAATTTAATTACCTAGTATGTCAGCAATGCCTAAATCAGCACACACTTTAAAAAAGAAAAGAACTATAACCACGCATAATCTATATGCTGCTGAGCTGCTGTGCTTCTGTAAACTCTGTTAAAAGACTTCTCGGTATTTAAACAGTGTATCGTTTGTTTTTGTTTTTGTTTTTTGGGGGGAGGGGGGGTTTCTAGCCCGCCCTTCTGCTTTGAAAAAGCAATCAAGCGGGCTTATTGGAAAGTTTGCAAACAAAAATAAAATGTAAAGGCCGTTCTATTTTCCACATTTGCTTAAGACTTTAGTTTCAACCACATTTTTTATTCAACCAGATGTTTGCTGCTCCCACCCTAACTATCTATGTACCTGCTATCACTTTCCTCTGTCAGAAAATTTGTGTGGTATTGCACATTCACTTTTCTTGACAAGAAAAGGCATTTCACGTCAAAACTAGCATTTAAGGTTTTGTTCAGACCTCTATCAGTACCTTTAGTTTGTTGTGTTTTACAAAGCGATACACCTAATATTTAATTTACATATTTATTTTAAACCAAGACTTTTATTGATTTTTTTTCATGATATGTTGTTCTAGATTGTTTGCGAAATGATACATGTCTCTGTATGTGATAAATAAAAATTGAAGGTTACAGTTATTATTATTATTAAGTCTTCTACCTTGTAAATTATAAGTGACGCTTTATGGGATAAAAACGTCAACAATCCTTGTTAGCAATGGAAAGAACTCCCTTTAAAAAAAATTAAAAATACATATCTAAAATTGAAACAACAATTAGCTTGGAGGTTGTTCTGGGAACTTTAAAGGCCTAAAGCAGTCTTTGAATTCTTGATGCATCTTTTATGTGGTATCTTTGAGCATCATGGCGCTCTAGTTTTATAATTGTTCATTATTTTTTATTTTTCGTGTAGGCGGCGCATGGAGTAGACTGAGGAGACTGAGTAAACTACTCCGACAGTCAAGAGAGCAAGGTGTTACCCAGATGCGGGTATACCCGCGCTACGTAGCGCGGCTACAATGCAACAGGTGGTGTTGAACCATATCACACCGCCGCGCTGTCTGGTATAAACGACCCTTGCGGGTTCGTTATACAATACATTAGTGTTAGAAACGCATCACAAATTTTCTAGGTTCTAATGTCTTATTTGTACCTATTTCTAAATAATTTACAGATACTTGAACGACAACATTGACTATTAATACTTGTTTTGACTATACTTATCAAATATCATGCATTTGGGTTGATTGCTTGTTGTGTGTTTAACCCGGTAGCGATAATGCACTTAAATATGCTTAAATGTACATTAGCTGCGGCAAAGCGCGTAATAATGCGCTTTACCAAATGCGATGTGGCGCTACCGGGGTAGTCGACCTCCATTGTGCTGCTCTCGGGACAAAGAGCAAATACGTCACCATTCAAATGAAGTTAGAAATGGCAGAGGATAACGTGAAATGATCACCTTTTAAAAATGTAAAAATGATCAATCCATTCCTTTTAGCATTTCCTTGAGGTTGCGACGTGCGACCTTGCCGCTCACGGTCCTAGGAAGATGGTCCAGGAAGATGACTCCACCTCGCA